CAAACTCTATAGTCTTACTATAGTCATAATATATACGTAATAATAGACCGTTTTTTTGTGGTATTTCTATAGTAATACTTAATAGTAATACTATAGTTTTTTTTTGTAAGGGCAGCGGAAAGCTTTGGGACAAACTCCCCTCTCCGGCAGAAACAGGAAATGCCGTAACTGTATGTAAAGCTCTTTTAGTTTCAAACCTGATGTTTATAAGCTTATTAGTTTTTGCAACAGTCTGTAAATATACACAACTTTATAATAAAATGCACACAGTTACCTTTTTCTAGACTAAACACAGGTATGTTCCTAAGTTAAAAACATATGAGGTTGTTAACATCGCAGTTTATCAGTGGATGTTTGCTGGAACTACTTGTTAACAGCTTGTTTCCTCACGGACACACACAGCGTGACTCCGGTCAGGTAGAGACCGGTCTCAAGTCAGCACCGCTGCAGACTCGCTGTTTGAGGGCTTGATAGCCCACTCCCCCTCCACACTCGTTGGTTTGGAACAGCACTTAATGTGGCGGACCCTCCAGGCGAACGTGCAAACGGAAGAGTAGTGTGTAGGGGGCGGTTTGGGATTGGGCCGAGATGTCCTTCAACATGGCGCGCTGAAATCCATTTCCGGGTCACTACCGGAGGACCGAGGAGGGGAAATGAGTGAAATGAGAAAGGGCCTCAGACGTTTTTACTGAAGTGAGTGTGATGGAGGCAACAGATCAATGTGACCTTAGAGAACAATGCTATGATAATCTACCTGCATAATACTGATAGATACATTAGATTACTTTTTTTAAATTATTTATCAACTTTAATGTATTTATGTAAATGACACTTCTCAGGAAAAAGGGATTTCATTAATGTATTTATTATCTTAGTTTTTTTTTTACACAGCAACATTTTGCTGTGTTTATGTAGGAGACAAACATCTCGGGAAGGTGGAGTTTCTTTGTTCTTTTTGTGTATTATTTTACCTTTTTTTTAAATCCCGTTTGCTGTGTTTATGACAAACATACAGGAAGTTTATGATTTTATTTTACTCTTTTTGGATATAGAAGTTGCACATGAGCTCCCATTATAAATATGTTCAGAAAAGTGTTTAACCTAAACAGTCAGAAAGCTCACGGTTTAAACTCTTAACCACATTTTAAAATCCTGCTTTTTGTTATAAATGCAGTTCTCCTGTCGTCCACAAGGGGGCAGAGCTGCGGTGTAATGTAAAGATGGAAATGGTAACCAATTGATTATTCTTATGCAGTTTTGGGAAGATGACACGTTATCTATCTAAAGCCTCAAATAGGGTTTTATCATTTGAATCGCTATACAGTCAAAGAACACCTCAGTATGTCTTTCATTTCTATGAAGAAAATAACTGTAATTTATTTAATGTTCACAATATTATTTAAGATTAAAAAAAACACTTGGTGAAGATGTTTCTCCATGTGCATGCTTTGGAACATTTGGATCTTTTCTCCAAACACTTGACTTTTTTTCAAAAGATTCAAACTTTCAGAACATCTAAATTTGTACTTATTAATGAAAAACCTAGATTTCAGATTTTCTTCAAAAAAAATTCTGTACATTTTCTAAAAATCTCAATTTTCATCAAAATTCTGCATTTTTCTAAAAATCTAAAAATCCTGTATATTCTCTCAAATTTTTACTTTTTTCACAAAATACTGACTTTCAACATTCTGTCTTTTCACAAAATTCAGATTCTCAAAATCTTAAAATGTTGACTTTAAAAAAAGTACATTTAAAAAGGTTAAAACTGAAGATTGGTAAGAAAAGGACTTCAGGACTGAAGTTGCTTCACACAGTAACAATAATGTATCATTTCTACAGAGACACTATTGGAATAAGTTTGTTTTAAATGGCAGTGGATGACCCGCTTTATTTTACAGAAACATTTCTACACCACGAACAAAAGGAGACGAGACCAAGTGTCAATAAAAACCTTTATTATTTTCTTTTTTTCGTTGGGTTTTCCTCAAGTTGATCTTGCCCTGTTTGACCCCTCCTGACCTAACCCCCACACATTCCTCTACCGAGTCCCCCAGACACGAACAACCTCTACGATCAAAATAACCCCAACACAAACCAGAAGAGGGGATTAAAAACACGGAGGAAGCTGCTGACTAGAAATAAACTACACACACATGGAGTGTTGACAAACCCAGGGCTTTGAGAGCAAGCGTGAATCTCAGAATCTGAAAGCACCGGCGAGGAGTCGTGTATTTACATAGCTGCAGCTTTCTGAGTTTTGTTCGGCGCTTTCTACACGACGCTGTGGGGAAACTACGGGAATCATTGGGGTTATTACAAGCTCATACATTCAAGCTATACATATATATAACTATGTACACAAAGTATAAATAAAACCACCAAATGAGAACCCAGAGATTATAGTTTTATACATATTCAACACCAAAGAGAAAAAGAACTGTAAAAAGGGGGACGCAGTCATCATGGTTTCATCTAAGCTACTCATTAGGGGGTCCAGTCAAGCAAGTGCTCAGTTTGGAGTAGCTGTTTAAAGCGCTCCGCTGTGGGGATAAAGACACACACTCAAATAGAGACGGGACTTAATGTACAAAGCCCCCCCCCCCCACCCTCATCCCAACACACTTCAAAATTCACACTTGCTCTTAAAAGGATTTACTGCCAATTAAAAGACCCTTTGCTCAAATCTGTATTCTTTAATTACCGTCACTGTACATTACTCTCCACGGTTTGAGCAGACCCGTTAAAAACAGACAGGAAGTCGACAGTTATTTTGATCATAGAGGCGACACAGGTCCTTAAGAAAAATGAAAAGAAACTACAAGCAGCAGGAGGAGGAGGGACCAAAGATTTAAAGGGCCAGTACCTTTTTGAAATGGTCGACTCTAAACTGGAGTGTTCGTTAAGGGGAGTGAAGCGCGGGGAGGGGAACGTTGCATAATTGGAGCTAGCAGGGGGAACAATAACTGCGGCTTTAGATGTTTGATAAGATCCCATAATGAATGTCACCGCCTGGTCGTAGGAACACAGCTGCGGTTTATAGCGAGTCTACTGCGGGTTACACGTGTTTTAAACTGGCCCTTCTTTAGAGGATTAAAAAGCGTACTGTCTCTTTAAATCCCTGGATGTTTCCTCCGCCCCTGCAGCCCTGACTTTAAGCCCCGCCCCCCCCACACCTGTGCTAAGGTGTTCAGCCTGACTTGGCCCCCACCAGAGCCATCAGTCCGTCCGTGCTCATGGACTTGGGGCGCTCCAGAGGGAAGCCCAGCGCCCGGCTCCACACCAGCTGAGCGAGGACACCGAGAGCCCGGGAGACTCCGAACAGAACCGTGTAGTAGTTCATCTCAGACATCCCATAATACTGCAGAGAGGAGGGGGGGAGGGGGAGGTTACCGTCAGATATGCAAACAGATTCACATTAAGAGAGATACCTGAGGAAAACAACTTTATCTCATCACAATATGGACGAGTGCAAAATCCAAAGCACAGTATTTGTTATTAAAAAGGTTATTATGAGCTACTTAAAGGTGGGGTAGGTCATTTTGGAGAAAGCAGCTCGAGTGCGCTAGAATTTGAAAATACACAGCCGGAACAAATCTGCCACTTCCTCACAGAGCCCCTCCTCCAACACACACGAACGTGACAGGCAGGTAGGCCATCCAGTTACTTTAGCCGGGCCGGCTCAGATGATTGGTCGTGCTTTTTACAGCGTCACGGCTTCTTCCACAGATGAGATATTTTTATGGATTTTTTGTCAAAGCACTTCAGATATTCATTGCTATCGGGATGTTAAGAGCATTCCATGGAATATAACAACAAGTTTCGGTTTCTCAAACTTACCTACCCCACCTTTAACATTACGTTTAATGGAGCTGAAGAGATATCTCAGGCTACTCATCATTAAAGACTTAAAACATATTGTTCTCGACAGATATCGGCAAATAAAATGACGATGGGAAGTGGTACACAGAAGTTCAGATGTTTGCTCGTGAGTGGAAGAGGTCGATTGACTGCTTTTATGGATTTATGATGGATAAAATCAGTCATTTTGAAGGAGTAGAGCACGGTCTGAAGCCGGTGTGTTCAAAGTGACTCAAGCAGCTGCTGCAGGATTTCCCCCCAGCGATTGGTTTAGCTTCTAAAGTCTGAAGTGTTGCTGCTGATTGATTTTAAAGAGTGTCAGCGGGAGAAAGATGTTTTACAAATCCCTTCAGTCCGAGACAAACCCACATTCACTCATTTTGTGAATCTGCATTGTTCATATTTAACCGTTCAGGTACAATGTGTTTTGATTGTCCTCACCTGCAGCAGATGATCATGACTGTATAATATGAATATTAAACANTGCAGGATTTCCCCCCAGCGATTGGTTTAGCTTCTAAAGTCTGAAGTGTTGCTGCTGATTGATTTTAAAGAGTGTCAGCGGGAGAAAGATGTTTTACAAATCCCTTCAGTCCGAGACATAATCCACATAAACTCATTTTGTGAATCTGCATTGTTCATATTTAACCGTTCGGCACAATGCCGCAGTGTTTTGATTGTCCTCACCTGCAGCAGATGATCATGACTGTATAATATGAATATTAAACACGTCTCACCTGCAGCAGCACCCTGAGATAATGAATATTAAACACGTCTCACCTGCAGCAGCACCCTGAGATAATGAATATTAAACACGTCTCACCTGCAGCAGCACCCTGAGATAATGAATATTAAACACGTCTCACCTGCAGCAGCACCCCGCTGTGGGCGTCCACGTTGGGCCAGGGGTTCTTGGCCTTGCCCTGCTCCAGCAGCACGTTGGGCACGATCTTGTAGAGCTGAGCCACCATCTTGAACAGCGGGTCGTTGGGCAGGTGCTTCAGAGCAAACTCCCGCTGGCAGGTGTAGCGGGGGTCCGTCTTCCTCAGGACGGCGTGGCCGTAACCGGGGACAACCTGCAGAGAGAGAGGGAGACACATTTAGAGAGAACATATGAACTACTTCCTGCTTCTACTCGGAAAATCTAATTCTTTGTTAAAAACGGAGCAACAGATTAGTAAAATACATTTTCTCAACTCAACTGTGAATCTTGGCATCCCATGTTTATTAACAGTTATTACTCAATGAAATAAGAAAAGACACAAGCTCTGCATACAGTAATCATTATTATTATCAATAAAACAAATAGTTATCTCAAATATTCTCTGCTGTTTTCTTGTCCCAGTTCAAACTGTATACAGTTCAATCGAGCGGACTTCTTTCTGCAGATGTGAGCGTCCTTAACAACGGTCAATAAGTGCTTGACAGCGGTCTGTACTACTGGATTAACAACGTGTCACGTGTTCCGAATCGACCAATCAGAATTGAGTATTCAACTAAGCCATGTAATAATGCCACTCACAATATCCTTGGATTGATACTGTGTTCCTTTAAGTTATACTCGTGTGCTCTCCAATTACCACCACTCCATTTTTGTTATTAATATCATTTATTTATCCCAGAAACGGCGTGTGTTTGCAAAAAGGTCAACAACTGTTTGCTCAATCACCTAAATACCCCGTGCCCCATTGCGCCATCTAGTGCTCAAAAACAAACAGACATACAAATGGGCACAACAGACTGGGTGTGGTGGAGTATTTGGTGCTTATTTACCCGTCCAGACTTGAGTGTGTTCCAGATGTAATCCCTCATCTTCTCGTCAGAAACTTCTCCTCCCAGCTCCTTCTGCAGCGCCGTCAGCCACACCAGCACCTCCTACACACACACACACAGAACAAGTTATTAACAGGATAAAACTGTGAGTACATTCACGCTAAATAAGTACACCATTATGACACTTCCACGATTCTATCTGAGCCACTTTTTGGTTCAAATATGAGAGCAGGAGAAAGTCCTTCACACATTCAGGCTGAGATAAACAGGAGGAGAGGATTTAACAGCCAGTGAACTCCAAGTGAAGCTCCACAGCGCTCTGTTTATAACATATTTTGAAGAAAGCAGGTGAGATTAATCACATCAGCCTGTTTGAGTTTTCCAGCATGTATAAAATAACCCAGACCCTGAAGATACATTTCTAAAGTCATTATTTTGTTATTTACAACCAAGCTTAATCTCCTAAAATGTTATTCAGTGAAATGTAATGTGTTGTTGGTACAGACCTGGTTGGCGAGGCCGTGCAGAGGGCCAGCGAGGCCGTTCATGGCGGCGCTGAAGGACAGGTAGGGGTCGGACAGAGCGCTGCCCACCAGGTGGCTGGTGTGAGCGCTGACGTTCCCTCCTTCATGGTCACTGAGAGAGAACAGGGATACATTCAGATGTCAAAACCCGACTTTTTTTTGGTCCAAAGGGGGGGCCTGACAGAAAAAGTTTGAGAACCACTGGTGTAGTGTGTGTGGTGAGGTAGTGTGTGTACCTGTGTATGGTGAGGTAGTGTGTGTACCTGTGTGAGGCAGTGTGTGTACCTGTGTGTGGTGAGGTAGTGTGTGTGTGCAGTGTGTGTACCTGTGTGTGGTGAGGTCGTGTGTGTGCAGTGTGTGTACCTGTGTGAGGCAGTGTGTGTACCTGTGTGTGGTGAGGTCGTGTGTGTACCTGTGTGAGGCAGTGTGTGTACCTGTGTGTGGTGAGGTAGTGTGTGTACCTGTGTGTGTGCAGTGTGTGTACCTGTGTGAGGCAGTGTGTGTACCTGTGTGAGGTAGTGTGTGTACCTGTGTGAGGCAGTGTGTGTACCTGTGTATGGTGAGGTTGTGTGTGTGCAGTGTGTGTACCTGTGTGTGGTGAGGTAGTGTGTGTACCTGTGTGTGGTGAGGTAGTGTGTGTGTGCAGTGTGTGTACCTGTGTGTGGTGAGGCAGTGTGTGTACCTGTGTGTGGTGAGGTAGTGTGTGTACCTGTGTATGGTGAGGTAGTGTGTGTACCTGTGTATGGTGAGGTAGTGTGTGTACCTGTGTGAGGCAGTTGTACCTGTGTGTGGTGAGGTAGTGTGTGTACCTGTGTTGGTGTCGTGTGTGTGTGTGAGGCAGTGTGTGTACCTGTGTGTTAGTGTGTGTACCT